TCTTCCCAAATGGCTCTTTAGTGTGTCAAGTTGATACAAAAACTAGCTAGTACAGTTGGGTAACAATACTTCTATCTTTTATTACTGACAAAACACAAATTCATACAACATCACTTTCCATGTATACATAAATTTATACATAAATGTACATATAATGACACATTTCTCTTTAAAGCCTTGATCACTGGACTCATTAACAATTTCATACGAAAAGATAAAATCATGTATTGTTTTAAAATCAAGTTTGGATTTATGGTTAACTCTGAAGTCCTATTTATTTGTATGTATTGTGCCATAAAGTGTTCCCCAATTCTGCTTCTTACAACATATTTATCACATCTGCTTTGCAGAAGCCTCAAGTCCTAGGCTTTTTCTCCACCAGGCTGGAGGGAAAACGATGCTTGCTTTGCCAGCTTCTGAATTTTGTTGCTAGATACTCCAGCCAGCAAACACTGAGCCACCATACCACATGTGATTTCTTCACAGATGCTGCTCGCCTTTTGAGACAGAGTGTTTTCCCTGGACCAATGGTTTCCTGGGGATGGAAGCTTCAATTTCAAAACTAGAAGCCCTGATTTAAAGCTACTGGTGACTAAGTCTGTTACAGAAGTATTCCATTTTCACACCGGGTTTTCGTTTGTTTGTTTTGTTTTGTAATTTTACAGCATTTTCACTTGAAAAACAAATTGTTTTCCTTGCCTGCCCTCTGGTCCTTTCTCTGCAGAAGCCAGGCAGAGGTAAGCAGCAAGCTTTGAAATTCAAAAGGGATTCTCTTCTCTGTAGATGCTTTAGTCGGGGAGTTGCTATGTTACAACAGAGCCAGAGAAGTGGGCGTGTCTTCCAGGAAAATTAATCTGCAGCTGTTTTCACTTTTCTTGACAGGCAGCACCGGAATTTCTGGAGGTAAGTAAGTGGTGGCGCTGCAAGCTCTGGGACCAAATCCCAGTCCCTGCTCTAAAAACACACCACCCATCCCCACACTACCCCCATCCCCCACGGAAAGACTGCGTACCCTTCCCCCCTCTCCACTTGGAGGCCCACCCTCTTTAAGGGCTTATTCAAACTGCAGGACATGAGTACTTGTGGGAGTTTTCTGTGCCATTGGAAGTTTAGGGGAAACTGAAGTGTAAAAAAAAACAAACCAAAAACCAAAAAAAAAAAAACATTTAATCATCGAATAGCGTCAAGGAAACTCCTCTGTAGGTCTGCCTGCCTGCCTGCTTTTCTGTCTGTTTCTCCCCTTCTCTTTCTCTCTCTACTTCCTTAACCCTTTCCGTTCCTTCTTTTCAACCCCAAAGATCCTTTCTTTCCAGGCAATTATCAGTTTGATATAAAATTATTCTGTTGAAGAGAAGCTTCTGACCTCACAAACTGCTTGGAGCCCTTAAGGCCTTAAGCAAAAACAAAACAAACGAACAAAAACTCGGGAAAACTGACCTTTTAAATACATTCTAGGGTATTGAAAATCAAGGGCAGACAATTTAAAGTTGAAACCTCCCCTCCCCCTTCCCTCTTTTTCGTTAGCAAGCTAAACTCTCCATTCCAAGTTTCCTCCACGGTCAGTCGGCTCCTAGCTTCTGGATTTCCCATCAGCCAACCGAGGGGGTGTGGCCAGCTGTTTCTTCTCACTCCCACCTCTGACACTGCAGTTGCACTGCTCAGAGGGTCCACACTGCAGCAGATCCCTACGATTCAGGGAGAAGCCCTCGGTCCTCAAGCAGCAGCAGCATCGGGGTCAGTACTTTGATTGTCACCCCTTGGAATACTCTCCCTGCTACGTACTTAGAGTCCCCTTTCTCATTTTCTTCCTAACAGGTAGTAGGAAACCTGCCACAACTGTTTGTAAGAGAGAGGGTGGGAGGGAGGGGGAAATCCCTAGGTGAAGGAAATTCACTATGAGGTTGGCTTCAGGAAATAAAGGGGTTTTTGTTTTGTTTTGTTGTTTTGTTTTCCATCATAGGTGATTGTGGTCTGCCTCCCTCCCCTCTCAGCCTCCTGCAGTGGCCACTGCTTGCCTGCTGTCTCTGCTGCCAGCCAGACACAGCCCATTTTTCAGCTCAGCTGCTCCTGGGTGAGTATCCTGCTCTAAGCTTCCTGCTGCTGTTATTAGAAATCCCTTTCCCTGACCTGGGGTCCTTCTGTCTTATTTAAAGAAAGCCCCTTTCTCAGCATGTTTTCCTAGCTGCTCCATGGTTCCATATACCCTCATCTGTTGCAATTCTTGCTTCTCTGTCAAGCCGCACACCGTTTTAACAGCCAGGATATATTCCCCAGTTGCTGAATAATAAGGTGGAGAGATGAGCCAGATTCATAGCAACATAATCAATATAGAGATTGTGTTCTCTCTCCCTCTCTCTCCTCTCTCTCTGTTTCTCTCTGTGTGTGTGAGTGTGAGTGTGAGTGTGTGTGTGTGTGTGTGTGTGTGTGTGTGTGTGTCTGTGTGCATGTGCAGGAGCTTTGGATGCTAAGCAAATGCTGTTTCACTAAGATACATCACAACTCAGAATCTATTTGAAATTGCAATTTTAAATGAGGGCAGCTGGCCCAGGAAAACCACTGTTGAGTGCTTTGGAAACCCTGAGTTGGGGTTGTATCACAAAGAAAAGCTGACCTCTCAAGAGCCCTTGTTTTCATGGGAAGAGGAGGTACACAAATCAGCAGTGCTGGCACCAATACATCAACATAAAAGAATCAGTTGTCCTGAGCATGGTGCCTTCTCCAGGCAGTGACACTTCAGCTCCAGCAAAAGTACCTTACCAAGTGCCTGCCATGACAGTGTGGGTCACATTTTGTCATGGCTGGGGAAGGAAAGCTAGGGGATGATCAGGACAGAAAGCTCTCATGGAAATTTTTAGGCCCCTCATTAGGGTTACTAGGAAAATGGTTCACTTTCATGGTTTTGTAATATCTTTAATAATAATAAAAAAAATTAGAAGCAGACTTAGAAGGAAGCTCAAGGACAGTTATGTTAGAGTTGGAGAGAAAAGGAGATGCCATTGGTGCCTTTTAAATCAGGCATATAGTGGCTTTAGAAAGGAGAGGTGGGCCTTTATGGAAACATCTAGAAAGGCCATAGCATAGTGCCAAGAAAAGCATGGTTAGTCTTTGGTTTGGCATATGAAAAAGACATGGAGTAAGTTAAAGGAAAAATTAAAACATTTTGAGTTAATATTAATAAGCCAGCAGGCATTGGAAGCCTGTGTGATAGGAGCTCTGTGAACTCCACACTGTGGAAAAGCTAAGGGGGTGGTAAATTTATTATCTCATTAAGAAGGCAGTTGTTCCTCCTATCCTTAGCTGTCAGCCTACTGGAGAGGTTCCTGGCCAGGAGATTGACAGGCCCAACTGGACTAACTCTTAAGGAAAGAGCATGTGTGGCTCTACCCAGGGCCAAAGGTAGAACTCAGATTTTATTCTTTGCATCTGAATAAAGTATTTTTCCTTTAATGGTCCCCAACAAAGCCCTAATACCTCAATCTTGTCATATCATATGTATTTTCAATCCCAAAGTGGGGCCAATATCTTGTTTCCCTCGTAATATTACTGGCATATGGGGTCCATGCAGGAAGGGTCTATACTTAATGGGTGCACAGCTACCAAACCCAGAGACACAAACCATCTATAGTCTCTGTGATGAGGTCATCATATAAATCATAACCTGGAAGCGTGTACTCTGTCCATCGTTTAAAACATAGCATAGGCCATCTTTTTAAAATATTATCATACAGTAGAAATAAAGTTAGGATATCCTAGGGTCTCTCTCTCTCTCTCTCTCTCTCTCTCTGTGTGTGTGTGTGTGTGTGTGTGTGTGTGTGTGTGTTTGAGACAGGGTTTCACTGTGTAATAGCCATGGCTGTCCAGAATTCACTTTGTAGACCAGACTGACCTTGAACTCACAGAGATCCTCCTGCTTCTGCTTCATACATGCTGGGATTAGAGGTATGTACCACCACCATACCCAGCAGGATACCAGGATATATTAGTTTTAAATTGAGGCTATGTTGTATTATATATATATATATATATATATATATATATATATATATAATGTGTACATATATATTATTAAAAAAATAAAATTTGGACTGAAAGCAGGTGGTGTGTTCAAATTCTGATCTCCAAAGCAACTAACTCACCAACAAGGAGTCTATCTAAATGCAGGCATCTCTTGGATTACACAGCTACTCACACACAGGTCTCTGAATGTGAATGAGCTAATAAAGAGCAGATGTTTATTGAAAACTAGAGAATGTAATAACAGGAGCACTACTAGCATATGCCATCATTGAAGAATGCCTTCTAAGGATCTTCCCCTAGTCTAGGAACCTCATCCATATGGATTGACACATTTGTATGCTGATATTGTGGTTCTCATCTTTAAAAGGGCATACTGGTGTTCAGAAGGGCTAAACTTGTGGTACCCGTTCAGTATGTGAAAGTTTCTGTACCCTCATACTAAGTCTCTGTGCTGACATAGTCATCCACAGCAAGCCAAATTAAAAATAAAAGACCAACCTCCACAGATGAGATCAGGAGAAGAGGCCAGAAAACCCCAAGTGGCTTTCTCCAGGAGGCAGTTTAAATACTGTAGTGTGGCCTTGAGTGGTTCCAGGGGAGGAGCCATCACTTGTTAGGCTTTCTAAGGGCAAGGTCTGGAGGGAGAGGAGGGGCTGAAAGCAGAGTTCACGGCTAAACACTATATATGGATAAAGTGTATTAGTCACACTTTAGAGAAAATGGAATTGACATGTAAAGTGACCTCACAGAGTTCCTGTTTGTGGCCACCTCAGGATTTCTGTGCCTTCTCACAGGGGTGTAGAGGGTGCCCTTTAATAGAAACTTAACCTTTGACATTTGTGTCTCCTTTACTCCACATCCCTTCTTCCTAGCTCTAAAACTGCCCCTCTGCATGTCTGTTTGCATTCTGCCAGAGAGACATATGGTGCTGGTATTTGATTGGCTGCTTTTAACCATTTACTCTAGTGGATAATGTGTCTTTTCACAGAAAGAGTGTCAACATGGTGCGTTCTAGTGGCTTACTCACTAGCGTAAAGGATCCAGGTAAGCAAGAGTCAAGACTCTTTATTTCAATTTTTTTTAGACCCCCAAATGATTGTAGCATATGGGTCTGAGTCTAGCAAATCTTTCTGAACTACTGAACCCTGATCTTTCCTCAGTGGCACTGAAGAGCATTGCTGTGACTCTGTCCATCAATGACTTTGTGGCTGGTGTGTCTGCAACCTTAAATTATGAGAATGAGGAGAAAATGCCCTTGGAAGCTTTCTTTGTGTTCCCCATGGATGAAGACTCTGCTGTCTACAGTTTTGAGGCCTTGGTGGATGGGAAGAAAATTGTGGCGGAATTACAGGACAAGTACCAGGTCTGAGGGATGAGTTCACCATCCCCTTCTTATTCCCATAGGACTTTCTCTTCAACCTTTATCAAATGCAGCAATTTAAAAATTCTAGTCCCAAATATTCTTTCCTTCATTTACTCCTAATCCATTTCCCTGAAATTATTTGAGACAGGTAATCAGTCACCCAGAGCGTAGTTCTACCAGTCATAACACCTATCAAAGTCTTTCCAAAAGAGCCTGGGTTTTATGTACATCCTATCCATTCATAAGTGTCATCTTCATCTTATTTTCCCACTCCTCCCTTTATTTCCTGTAGGCCCACAAAAGGTATGAAGAGGCCCTTGCTGGGGGATATCAGGCATACTTATTAGAAGAAGACAAGTGCTCCAGGGATGTCTTCCGTTGCAATGTGGGGAACCTGCAGCCAGGGTCAAAAGTGGCACTCACCCTGAAATACGTGCAAGAACTTCCTCTGGAAGATGACGGAGCCCTGCGTTATGTGCTCCCAGCAATCCTGAATCCTAGATATCATCTTTCTGGTGAGTACTTTTCCAGTTTGTATATCTGTCTGTGGTAGCATATGTTAGGTAAGCACCACAAGGTTTTGGAGTGCTAGATGTGTGGACAAGGAACAGAATTAAGGCTCTTTTTGTAGATCAATCTATGGACAGTTGCCTGGATCTGAAGACCCCAATAGTTCCTTTGGAGGACCTGCCCTACACACTCAGCATGGTTGCCACCATCAGCTCCCAACTTGGTATCAGTACAATCCAATCTAACTGTGCCCTGAGTCCCATTGACTACACTGAAGAGAACAGGACCTCTGCTCAGGTAATTAGTGTCCGAGTTTCCAGTCCTCTGTGCCTTAGCTATTGACCTCGTCCTAACTCAGCCTTCCTGGGTCCTCCTCACTTTCTGAGCTACTTACTACCTTTTTTACCTACCTATTCTCTTTCCATGCTGCTTATGGAAGCCTATAGTCCTAGATTTGATTTCAGCCTCAGGAAGTGATCAGTGGCAGTTCTAATGTGTCTTCTCTGCTCGTTCCCTACTCAGGTTTCCTTGGCTGAAGGACACAAGTTTGATCGGGATGTAGAACTCCTCATTTTCTACAGGAAGGTGCACAGCCCCAGTGTAGCTGTGGAAATGGGGATGCCCGAAAGGGAATCAGGTATTTTCTTCTTTACTCCTAAGTTACCTCCTAGGAAGACACTTTCTTAAGACTACCCTCAAAAGTTTTCACTTCTGATTGTTCTACCAAGTGGCCAGGAAAACATTATCAGTATGAAATGCTGGCAGTCCTTGTACTTCTAGAAAGTGTGTTGAGCCCTTAGGAAATTCAGGGTCCATAAAACAAAAAACAAAACAAAACAAAAAAATAAACCATGATTCTGGGATGGAATCTGTAGTGCGATAGGAGGTGTTTGGTGTGGGGATATGAGAAAGGAGTGGAATGGAGAATGCAACTATAATTTGTTATATATACATGTGTTGTGGTGCCAAGTGAAGGTAGAATAAGGAAGTCCATATCCCCCCAAATAAAGAATATCAGATATTTATTTGGGGAGCACTCATATAATGAAGATAAAAAGCCACTGCAATTTTCTGCCCCTGGAGGTTCAGGATGCTGCAATGTAGGATGCTCAGACCACAACCCAAGAGAGAGAGAGTGAGGACCCTCCTTTTCTTCATAAGGGATCACATCCATACACTGAAGCCACACCCTAAGGCCAGTACCTCACATCTATTGGTGAAACAATATGCCACTACATGCATGTAAAGTCATCAAAAATAAATGAAAGTATATTTTGGGAACACTAAAAATAAATATGATGAAGTTTGAAAATTTCAAAGTCAACACCAAGATAACATGGCATTGCAGGAGAATTTGGGTCAAATGTGTTAATATTCATGATAATTTAGACAATTCTTATTTTTGGAATTTTAAGAAAACAAATATAGTTATGAATAAATCTGGAAGAAGATGCCTCCAATATTTTAGTAATACAAAATATTGGTAAAAAAGAAAATATCACAGGGACAAAATTTACTATGTCTCCAACAATGTGCTTTAAAGTATACTTAATAAAATAATTCTCACTGACAAGTTGAAATAATATAGAGTAAGAATCCTCTAAAATGGAAAGTAAGGGAAAAGTAACTCAAAAATAAGAGCTTACCATATAAAATATGTACACTAGAAAGAGTCATTTGTAAATGGAAGAAATATGAAAGTACTTATTGTGGTTAGGTTGGGACTGTCTAGTTCTTTGTCTTTTAAGTCAATGAATAACTTATCAATTGATCACATCAACAAGTAATCTCAGGTAAAGTTCAGTATTTTTCAAATCAAGATAAATATAAACATCAAATTTTAGCACATTAACTGTCTTACATGCCATGTTCTATGTCCACCTGGTTAGTCATTAAATCATTATTATCTATCCTCTTTTTTCTTAATTTCTCATTAACGTCCTAATATGTAAATTTCTAATTAGCTTCCTAATAAGTTTGCTTTATTAATTTAATGTCTTTTTCCAAATTTCAAGTGTGTGTGTGTGTGTGTGTGTGTGTGTGTGTATGTATATGTACGTGTTTGTGTGTTCTAGGGTATCCCCAGCACTCTTTTTAATCCTTTTTTTCTTTGAGAAAAAAACTTTATTAAAAAGCCGAGGCTGGCCTTGGACTCATGCTGTAGCTTAGATTACTTTAAAGCTTGCAATTTTTCTGTGTTAGTCTCCCAAGTAACTGAGATTTCAAGCCTGTATTAGCAAAGTGTTCTTGGGACTTGGGATTCTTGAGTTTCTATTTGTCTTACAAGGTCCTTATCCTTTCTCTATAGATAGTTTAATGGGAGCACCTTCTGCAATGGTGAGTTTCTATCCAGATATACCACATGCAGAGACCTCAAAAAAATGTGGAGAATTTGTGTTCCTTATGGACCGTTCAAGAAGTATGAAGAGCCCCATGAGTGGCCAGAACAGATCTCAGCTGAGAATAGATGCTGCCAAGGTAAAATGGCTTTTTCTTTCCCATGAATAATATACTCACAGAGGATGAATCTGAGGGATTTAGTTAGGATGTGTTTGAGGTGGAGTTATGTTCATTGTCTGAGTTCTTAGCCTTTCCTTAGAGTGCAAGGTGAAAAAATGGCAGGACAGTCCATAACCTCTACAGTTGTACTGGGCATTTGTGCATGTGTGTGCCTGATTAGTCTACTCACCCTCCTTTATCACCTCCAGGAAACACTGATTCTGCTACTGAAGAGTTTGCCTATGGGCTGCTATTTCAACATTTATGGATTTGGATCTACCCATGAGGCATTTTTCCCGTAAGTTTCTGGAAAGAGAAGTCTCTTTCCAGAGAAGAGGGCATACAAGATAGGTAGGAATTCAGTGGGTAGGAATACTTGCTGCCCAGCTTGACAAGCCAAGTTTGATTCCAAGGACTCACATGGTTGATGGAGAAAATCAGTTCCCAAAAGTTATCCTCTGACCTCATACATTTATGTTATCACATGGATGTGCAAGCATTCATGTACATGCACATACACAAAATCCTGTAAAATCATATGAAAATATATTTCAAAAGGAGGAGCTGGAGTGTGAAAAGGTCAGGGGAAAGTTTCCCTGGGCTTTGGGGAATACAGAAAGGATTGGTATTTGATGGGGTTTCTCAGCCCTGGCAACTTGATATTGCCATCACATGACCACATGTGCTTGCTTCTTTCAGGATTAGTGTTAAGTACACTCAGGAAACCATGGAGAAAGCAGTGGAGAAAGTAAAGCATATGCAGGCCGATCTAGGAGGGACAGAAATTTTAACACCACTCCGCAGAGTCTTTAGGAGACCCCCCATTCCAGGGCATCCCTTACAGGTAAGAATTGGAACAAGGCTAATAGAAGAGGCAGGGGGGATGAAAATTCTCTAGCCTCTATGTCCTTGAATGTCAATGCAAGACTATGGAAATACTGTATGTGCTTCTGGCTTCTACTAAATGGAAGAGGGAAATGAAGATAAGAGGAATTGTCTTCTTAACTGAAACAAAATTAATGTGGGTAATTGCTGACACCCTCAAGGGTTCTGGACTAACCCCTGCAAACATGCTAAATGACAAAAGAACACTGAGAACAGAAATCTCCTCCCTGTTTAAAGATGCACCAGAGACATTAGTGTAAATTAGGTGAATTGTTTCCAGTTAATTTCTATTCTTGTTAGTGTGAACTTGGCAGAGGCCTGATGGTGTTCTGATGTTTGTTTTGTACAGATCTTTGTTTTCACAGATGGAGAAGTTGCAGAAACTTTTAATGTCATCAGGGAAGTTAAGTTCCACAGCAAAAGGCACAGGTATGAGGGCAGGCTGTTTCTACTGGGGAAACTGACTTTTAGCAAGGCCAAATGCAACGATGTATTGTCTGTTGTTACTAGGTACTTTTGACAATGATTGAAAATTTTGAGATTTACTAAGTGATTGGGTTCTTTTCTTTCTTTTTTTCTTTTTTTCTTTCCTCCTCCTCCTTTTTTTTTCCAAATAAAAGTAACATTCCAAATAACATCAATTACATAGAAACTAATTTCCCTACTTATTTCTAAACTGACAGTAAATAGACCAATAGGTCACTCTACTTTCCTCTCTATTTTCCAACTCTAAATGTTGTATAATAAGTAAAACATGCAGGAATCCATCCAAACCATAAGCACTGGGGCAAATGAATCAATGTGAGAGCACTGTGTAACTCCTGGGTGGGTCTAGAGCTAGAATAAAATCTACTGTTACTTGGAGTATGATTTGTTATTTATTACCATTTGTTCCTAATTTTACTCTTTTGTTTCTTCTCAAGTCAGTTCTCTATGATTAAGAGTTGGTCCAAAAAAAAAAAGTGTTGGTTTTTGTATATTTTAGGGAATTAATCTTAAAACTGATATCCACTGGGAGCTGTGATTTATGCTATCCCAATCAAAAGAGACCAATAGACAGTCCTACAGTCCTAAGTTAGAGTGTATTGATTTACAATGAAACCTGTTTTATGCCATCTAAATGCTTGTTTTTTACCAATACTGTAATATCTGTGTGTATACTGTTCTTCCTGGGAAATTAAACCATGGATAAAACACTGCTTGCTGTAAATAGACTTGTACAGAATGAAGACTTCCTCTTAGAAGGGCCGGAGGCATACTCTTCATCCTGACATTCACAGCCAGGGCAGTGTCAGGGAGGTGCTGTTGACTTCATGTATCTTTTTTTTTTTTTTTTTTTTTTTTTTAAAGAGAAACTGTGTGATCAGGGTTAGAGAATGACTTTGGACAGACTTATTTGACTTTTGAGCTCCAGATCTTCATGTGAAAAATGAAATATGAGATTATCTCAGAATCTGGATAGATAAATTGTGTCATAACTGTGAAATGTTTTATGTGTCTTTAAAATAGAAGATATTCAGTGAATGACAGTTATTCCTTAAGTACATTATGTTCATATACTTTTTGGTAATGATGCATTAACTTGATAATTCCAATCAAGTTTTTCCTTTAACCTCTATCTTTTTACATTCACAGATGTTTCACATTTGGCATTGGAGAAGGGGCTTCGACCAGCTTAATAAAGAGCCTTGCCCGGGTGTCAGGGGGCACTGCAGAGTTTATCACAGGCAACGACAGGATGCAGTCCAAGGTGGGGGGCTCACTGTGTATAAAGAAATAGATAATAGGGGACATTTCTTCAAGGGCAGGGGTCCAGCTTTCCCACAGAACAGATTTTTTGGTGTCTTCAATATTTAGCTCATAAACATAGTTGGGGAAATTCCAGTCTGTGGAAAGAGGGCCCAAAAACATGTGGAAAAATTGTCTCTAGTCTTTATAGGCATAAGCTCAGATACGCTTTGAGGATTTTGTGTTGACCAGAGACAGACTAGTTGCTTTCATTGTCATGCCTAAGAATCCAGGTATGTAATTCAGGACCTACCTCTTCTAGTGTTATATGCAACCATCATTGCAAAGGATATCAAGCAAAGGAAAAGGATCACATGTGCAATATATAAAAAAATCAATGTGACTTCAAATCAATGCATCATTTTATTAGAGAAGCCCTCTTAGAAATCACCTAAGCTTCTATGTAACTAATATCATCTTTCCTAAATCTCTCACATTTATGTTTTAAATCTAACTTTAGATTACAAAGGGCGAGCAATAAGGCTGTCTGTCATTATAACAATAGGAATTAGACATAATATTCATTATGTCTCATGATCCCTATGTATAGTAAGTTATAAATGATAGCAATCATTATCATTGCTTGCTTATACTGACTGTGCTTTCTTCTCCTGCAGGCTCTTAGGTCCCTAAGACGCTCTTTGCAGTATGTAGTAGAGGATATCTCTCTGAGCTGGAATTTGCCTCCTAATCTGTTTGCACACATGCTATCCCCAGAGCAAACTGTTATCTTTAGGGGCCAAAGGTTAATCATCTATTCTCTACTGATTGGACAGATTCCGGTGAGTGCACAATATTAGTCTCTCTTCTTGGTGCAGCTACTACTCTGGCAGATTCATTAAATAAAGTAAATAGTTTTGAATCTCAACAGGTATTTGCTAACTGGAACTGGCCATGCATTCTTCTCATCAAGCCAGGTTTCTGCCTCCCTGAACTTATGGCTTCTGGATAGAAACTTAAGCTGGGAGTGGAGGGGGCTACAGTTTACACCCTCACCATCTTCCTAATGGTTCTTCTCTTTTTACTTTTCTTCTCTAATTTATAGCAAGACGAGGCTACAGGTGAAGTGCGTCTCCAATACACACTTCGTGGTAAAAGTTACGAGGAAAAGGTTACATTTGCTCTACAACCCAAGCCTGATGACAAGTGAGAATTCTGGGTCCTTCCCCCTCTTCCTTCTTTCCTTATCCCTGTGCTCTTTGATGACTGAATTCCTTCCCTTGACCTTGAACCCAGCAGTATCTGTTTTGTTTCTTGCCCACTCACTTATTTCCTTCCCCTTTTCCTCCTACTCCCTTACTTTTGTGATGTATAACTTTTAACAGCTCCAACTAAAAGGCATTTTGGTTTTCCTCTTACTCTCAGAAATATTTTTCTTTCAGCCTCACTATTCATCGTCTTGCAGCAAAGTCCATGATCCAGGCCAAAGACTTTGGCTTCAGGGAGACAACACTGATATTTAAAAGAGATGTGCTGGACATCAGCCTAGAGTCTGGAGTCATGAGCTCCTTCACAGCCTTTGTTGCCATCAACAAGGAGCTCAACGAACCAGTTCAGGGCCCCCTGATTCAAAGGGAGATTCCAAGGCCAATTCTCTTGGGTGGCTCTTCTACAAGGCCAAGTTCTTTTGATGGTAAATTTTATCCCATAAATACTTTTATGAATAATGAGTTTTTTGTCATTATTCTTTATGTGTGTGTGTGTGTGTGTGTGTGTGTGTGTGTGTGTGTGTGTGTGTGTGTATAATCAACTGGGAAAGATATTTGAAACCAAGTATTGGGAAAAGAAACAAAGAAAATGTAAAATGCTAAAAGTGCATATAAACCTTGAATAATCAAAAGTAAAAAGCTGAAGGTGATTTGTACTTCAGATGACTAGATTGTTAAAAAGCACAGTGATGACTAATGACTGAAACAGTCTGAAACACCAACAATAAGCACTGAGCAGGAGTAGATTTGAAAGAGCCACTGGAGACAGTTGTAAAATAGAATGTTCAGAGAGAAATAAAATCATGTATTAAGGATAAGGATATGTTTAAAACAACTAAAGATAATCATGATCTTGGCACTCATTTTTAGCAATGCTCATTAATTTCTGTGTAAAGATTAAATGGCCAGAGCTTCAGTTTCCTTTCCAAATTAGGATTTTTGCCAGATAAGTGTAACAAAAAGGAAATGACTGATAAGGAACTGAATTGCTGTGTGCAAAGTATTGGGTTGAATAAAGAACAAAGGTGGTAGGGAAGAACTAGATATTAAAGAAAAAAATAGAAGAACAAAGGATTTATGTAGTCTAAAATGTAGGTACTAGACACACTAGATCACTTAATATATATTAATTCTGACCAGTTTTTGAAAAGGAGAACAATGCTGAATACTGACAAGTTTGTCCAGACTGGGGAGGTTGGAGCTGGAGTAGAATAGAGGCAAAGTCCCTAGATTTGAGGAAGTCAAGTCCATTTCTATTAGGATGTTGCATATGCTACCCATAAGTGTAGCAGCATTATCTACTTTCTGGCAGAGTTTGAAATGTGGTGGAAGTCAGTAGCCTGAGTTTCAGATAGTTTAGTGGATCATAGGAAGGAACAAAGAAGGCTGATATATGAAGACAGATGGTAGGTAACCCAAGTGAATGAGGAAGTGTGATGATATGGGCCTGAAGAAGCTGCCAACACTACTCTTTAACTCTTATTCTTATTGATACAGTCCATTGAGCAATTTTATAGGGAAAAAAATCACTTCAAGTGAAGACATGGTTAAAATAAACTTCCTGGGAAGAATCAGAAGATGAATAAAAGACTATTTCTTGGGTGTTGGAGGTTTCTGAGGGAAGAAGATAGAAAGTAGAGTAGGTCAGATAGTCCACAAGAAAGTAGCGCATGGGAAAAGTAAAATACATAGGTGCCAAGTAAAGCTGGAGGAGATGGGGTTACTTATGTCTTAAATGATCAGATTTCACTGTCTTTTCAGCTTTGGGGAGCATGGATGCTGCAATGTAAATGTTTGTACTGGTGTCTTTCAGCTTTACCCAAAGTTTTACCTTGCTCCAGTGCCCCAGTGTCTCAGGCTCCAAGGAATATGCACACGAGTTACTGTGCAATCATGGCACGCATGCCAGAGGGTGAGAATCCTTTAAGTTCAGTATATCATAGTAGTCTTTACAGTTTCAGTGCACATTTTCCCAGGGACATAATCTTACCAAGGTTTATCTCTCACACATCCATCTAGGCATACCCCAGGAGCGATACTACAACCAGAGGGCGAAATGCGTGATTCACACAGATTCTCCCCCTGTGCTTCCCAACATACTCAAATTGCACACTCATGAAAAAGGTGAGACATACCTTAGTTTGTTTCTTTGATCTATGGGGCTTGAAGGACCAGTCTTCCAAATCTCTCTACCAGGAAATCTACATGGAAGCACTTGATAGCAAGTGAGATTGATCCCATACCTGTACTTGCCATGGCCAGCCCAGCTCCATTTGGACTATATGATCTATAAACCACTAATAGGCCCTAGGATGCCTTTTAGACTAACAACCCTCCTTTGCCATCTCTTCCTACATACACTCTGTGTAGGCAGGGCCTACAGAAGTGAGCTGACATCATATTTGGCTCATTCTACCCTGATCATCCCTTTACATATTGGGAATGAAGATTCATTATGAGGATATCTGGAATCCTCCTTTCTACAGCATACTCTTGCTATTGTATGGCTCTGAATTCAGAAAGTCACCCAGGAAGGCCAAAAATACAATAGCTATATCATTTCCCAATACTCTGTGTTTCTATTCTTCTCAAAGGGAGTATGGAGCATAGTGTTGCACAGCTGATCCTTCTCCAAAATGCAAATGGTTCCTGGGACATGAATGAGGATTTAGCCAAGGTTCTAGGTACTAGTTTGGAAGATATGAAGTCTGCACACCCTACTGAGGTAAAAATCCAAAGAATATCAAAGAAATTGGTATTTTTTTTAAAGATTATTTTGTTAGTAGTAAAATTTTGTATGAATCAAGGTCCATCTTAAGATAGGAGAATATTGGGGGGGTGATATGGACTAGACTGACATCTAGTAAATAAAGAATGATAGTTTTGTAGTTATAATGGAACTGTAAGAGTGAGAATGGAATAACATTTGTATTACATTCATTCCAAAGGTAATGGGTGACAAATGAAAATCTCAAATCCTCCTGTACCTCATTTATATTCTATTTCAGTTATTTTAGTTGCTGTTTATAGATGAAGAAGGCGAATGTTACAAACCCTGTGTGCCAGTAATAGGTAGAGCTGCATTACATATTAGGTCTGTGTCTTAAGAACCCCTAATAGCGGTCCCATTATGGCTTCAACTTTGATCACAGAACTTTACTAAAAGTTTATTGAAGTCACAATAAGCTGACAAATTACTTCCCATGTAATGAATTATGGTGATGTGGATAAATTACACTAAAAATAGTAAGATAACTTGATAAGTCATCTAACTGATAAGAATATAGGATGAATTACAAAAAATGAAGGGCAAATTTTATTCTGAATAGTTTCTAAACCTGGAATGTGATGAAATAAACTTCACTTAGTGTCTAGCCATATTGTTCAGTACGATATCCACTAGTGGCCTTTGACCGGTGGCATTGTGACTAATGGAAAAAGAAGCACAGTTTAAACTGAAGTGCAGTGTGTTTAGCACACAGCTGTTTCAAAGAGTCATCACAAAAACACGTTAGAGAGCTTATTTGGTATGGATTCCATGTTAAGCTGTGCTGCTGATTTGCAGTATATGGAGTTAAATAAAATACAAGCAACTTAAGTATACGGTTCACGAGTATTTACAGCTCATGCTAGACAAGTCCACGGCCCTGTAATCTGAAGCCCTAGAATCAATAACAACCAATTTCTCAAATTGTTATGCCATTTCTTTTTACTTTTAAAAATATAGGTATTTGACAATTTTAAAGAATATGTGTCTGCATTGTGTTTTTATAAGAAAATGCTATTGCAGAACAAAGAATCAAAAGGATAATGTACAAACATTGGAAAGAAGATATAGGCATCAAGAAATTTTAGCACAGATTGATCAAGTGCAACCCATATGAGATAAATATTACCATATTGAAGATGGCCACCAAGCCAACAGAATGAAGAAATTAGGATACCTGTTGTATAATATTTGAATGCAAAGGATTTTGTTGAAAAAATTAGTATCTGGATCATGTAAAAACTCATTGAAGATCCATAGAACTAAACAGTGAAGGTGTTTTATATGATTTTTTTAAGTATTTAAATATTTTATTTGCATGTCTTTTAAATCCAGTTTTGCCTTTTTTATAGGTCAGTATTCCCAGTGAAGATCTAATGAACATGTAGGCCCAAATGTTCTTATTGATGTATGACAGAACTAATCTATGCAATAGAATCTTGATGTGCAAAGTAATATAAAGGCTGGCCTAATACTTAGATAAGATAATGTGGACTTTATTTTATACAATGACCACAGCATATAGTATAACTAGAAGCAAGTATAGTTGTTGTTTTGAAATTTGCACCTATACAAGGAGAAGACAGGCACAATGTCTTGTAAGTTGCTTGGGAAACCAGATATTTCATCTGACTGACATTCAGCAAGAAGCAGCAGGTTTGATGGTTGGTGGAGACCACAGGCTGTCCTGTAAAGCCAAACCCTTGGGCTGTGACCAGTGAATTTCACAATTATGTTTCCTTCTGGGTGTGACCATTTCAGGGTATATTTTAAAAACGGCTGTGATCTCTTAGAGAAGGAGAGCAAGCCTGCATTGCTTACTCTTCTGTGAGCAGCTTTCCTAGGGTACTGAAAGGTACTGAAGCAAAGGTACTGAAATTCCATCGTTAAAGAGGACAAGATAGTGGCTTCTGAATGTGGGGAGTCACACCCTGAAGCAAGAATGTCCATTGATCTGCTGAGTCTAAAAGCTGAGATGTTAAGAAACAATGGGTGAAAACTCATGGGTGATATTATTTTACTGAAGTTTTCGGTTCAGCAGTGTAATTAGTAAAAACTCATTTGGTCTTCATTCACACCTTTATCATTTACTACAGGATAACACTGGGTAAACCATTTTACTTTTGTAGGACCTTTTTGGTTTTTTGTTTTTGGTTTTTTTTTTTTTTTTTTTTTTTTTTTTTTTTTGACTGGTAACTATTGATTTGACATTATTTTTTCCTGTTTTCCCTTTTGAGGGGAAAGGAGGAAGAGAATTCATGTAACCAAATTATTTTTCAAAGACATTTATGTATGTTCTTCTCTGGGCACCGTGGGTCCATGTTCTTCAGAGGTGTTTGGTGGGTTCCCGTGGCTGACCTACTGGTTGTAGCTGTAGCCTTTTCTGTCCTAAGACTGAGTAGGTTGTTAACCTGATAATCAGAGAAAACATTTGACATACTAAGTGCAAGCTGATCATAGAAGGGAATACAGAATGTGGGAGCAAGTGAAGTTTCTATGTGTCATTTTGAGAGACTTCTTGCTCTATACTGGGCATTAGGGAATTCACTGTCTGTGCAGGTACTGGAACCCTCAGCTTGGGCTACAATGCTGGCTGTGATCTGGCTGCATGCTAATGGCAAAGAGTTGAAGTGTGAATGGGAACTTCTGGAAAGAAAGGCTGTGGTGTGGCTTCATAACAATGCAGGTAGGAGCATAGTCCCCATGCCTTTTCTTTGTCCTTCAGGAAGCCAGCTACTGTGCCTCCAGGCCTGGCAGAGAGTTAGTACTAGAGAGTTCCTACATGCCCATGCCCCATGCTGACTCACAGTTCTTCTGTCCCCTTAGCTTGTCTATGTAACAGAATATGGTTGAAATATGGAATTGAAGTAGAAGGAACATAGATGGGGAGATGGCAAGGATACAGTGTAGCAGTAACTGTCCTTTCTAGCTCAGTACTGAGCTGAGTCTCAATAATATTCAATAATACTGAGCTGAGAACAAATACTCCTTGGGCATTCATTGTCTCCCTGCTGATGAAAGTTCTGAATCAGAGTGGATTAAAGGCATTAAAGGCATTAAAGTGGATTGGGGCACACAGAAAGGAAATGCCAGGAGGAAAGATAGAATGGGGGTGAGGGTGATAACTTGAGAGATTGAGAGAGGTCAAGGAAAGAGCTTCCTTCCTATCTACTGTCCCAGAGTCCTGACTCTTGCTCTTATCCTCACAGTCCATGGCTTCACCATGCTTATGCGTACTGCCAATCAATTCTTGAAGACATCTGTGAGTGCCTCCATCTTCACCATAAAAGAATAATGCTCAGAAGAAGGAAGTCTTTTCTTTTTCTTATTTTTTCATGTCTTTTGCCAAGTCCTTCACTTTCTCTTCTGCTAAGATGGATTTTACCTTATAGCCTGTATCTCACTATAAAAGTGAAGGATGAGCACACTGCTTTGACCATCTGTTCTGTTCTAGCTAGTTTTGGTGTTTGTGCGTCCCCTCTGACTAGTGCTGGTAGTCATGGAAAGTATTTCGTATGGTAGAGTAGTAGAGAATATGTACATGTAGTGATGTTTCTCTCGGCTTTTGAAAACATATTGCACTCCGGTCTAAGGACTGTGGCATTACTGCTAGAGAATGCCTGGATTAAATAATTGTCCTCTCTGTCCTTTTTCTACCCTCCTTTCATTTTATATAGTTATCATTATACACATATACTCAAAGATGATTTGAACTTTTCCATTCTTGGAAGAATTTGGAGGTGAACTGAAAGCCAACTTCAAGATCACAGAGATTCAAGGTTTCCATTTTGCCCATTGTTACCATTGGGGATATTCTTGATGCCCCCTTTTTGTCACCCTATGCTCCATACCTTTCTTTTCCCTATCTAAGTGATTTGAGTCACATCGTATTTGTAAATAGTTGTTCTCCTATACCATTAATCATCCTGTAAGAGATTGGTGATGAAATCTTTAGGACTAGCTTTAACCTGCTAAACTCATATGTCTGGTTGTGGCCTAGTATACTGAGAATTAATGTAGGTTGTGTTAAGACCTGAATATGTTTTTTTCAACCCATGAAGAATGGTGTCCACTGGTCAATGAGATACTCACTTTTCACATATCCTATCCTAGTAAATGACCTTATTCTCCCAGATTCCTGTGTTACCAATATTAAAATGTCTATCTGTACTATATGACTTTGCTGTATTGGTCTTTTGTTTGACTCGGCAAACATGAATTAGTTTTATTATCCCATTTCAAGCAACAAAATTTTGAATGTGTCCACTTTTCACACAGAGTTTTGTTAATTTTGTACTGGGGGTAGGCACAGTTTTTACCTTAAGCCAGATTTGACCACCTGTCCACAATAAGTCTGTTTAAAAAGCTAAATTAATGGTAAAAAAAAAAAAAAGAATAAAGCATGTAATCAATGTGGTTATACAAAGAAGAGGGACAAAGAGACCAGAATCCTTCAAGCCCAACTAGCCCAAGATTTTCTTTGGTCCATTACCATGAGTGTCCTGAAGAGGGGATAAGATTGAAACACAGGTCCAAGGATATACATATCTAAGCAGTCCTTGTTAAGGTGTGGTGGTACTCATCACTGAACCATCATTGTTTGGGTTTCAGTCACATTTGCAAGGTGGTCTGACATGTTGTTAGAAATATGAGACCTATTTCCTAGAGGCAATCTTTCACTCTAACTGTGGCCTTTTCCTTCTTCAGCATAAAATTTCTAGGTCAATTCCCATTTTGGGGGATCCATTTTCATTAGTCTGACATTCAGATTAGGATCTATATGTGTTTCTTTAGAAATTCTCCATGTCTGTCAGGCCAGTTACACTGTCACTGGATAGACTATCTTTCTTTCTTAAAAAAGCTACCTATCTTTTTATGTGTATGAATATTTTCACCTGCATGCATGTATGTGCACCACATGTGTACCTAATAGCTACAGAGACCCAAAGTGGGTGTTGAATTTTCTGGAATTAGAGTTATAGATGCAGGTTTTCCTAAAAAAAAAAAAAAAAAAAAAAAAAAAAAAAAAAAAAAAACAAAACCCTGGTCTAGAGTAAGAGCAGCAAGTGATTTTGACCAGTGGACCACCTCTCTGATCTCTGATTTACTATCTCATATGAAGTAAGATTATAACATTTGCTAGAAGACCACTTCTAGAATTCTGGATGTACAGCTAAATGGTTATAAGATGATGTCTAAATTACTCTATAGGTGATTAATATAACACTTGTGAAATTGAGGCATCAAACCAGTCACTATAGTACCAGAAGTAATAGCTCTCAGACTCCTGGTCTTCATGAACATGGGTCTTCTGGAAGAACAATATATACTCTTTAACTACTCAGCCATCTCTCCAGGCCCTAGATTTCAAAAATGGAAGGATAGTCAGTTGTTGCAACATTTCCTCACATGGGATCACAAGTAGAAAACATTGCCTATGCCATAAAATCTAGTTTCTTAGAACTTTTTTTCTGATAAATATTCCTTGGATCAATGTGACTATGAAACAGGCTATTATTACCTATGGGTGTTTCGAATTGTTTTTGACATATACATTTCAGGCACCACCAAAATGACTATATTAAGATGGATATTTTAACACAAAGCTGTTGTAAGATAGTATTTTTAAGGTGTGTTACATTTGTTTATGCTGTGGAACATTGTTTTAATGATGCAAAGATGCATTGTATTCTTTTAAGCTGAATTTGTTTAATTCTGTGAAGCTTTGATTCTTTGCCTGTCTAAAACACCTGATGGTCTAATAAAGAGCTGAACAGCCAATAGCAAGGTAGGAGAAAGGATAGGCGGGACTGGTAAGTAGAGAGAATAAATAGAAATTTGACAGAAGAATACAAAGTAAAATAGATCAAGGAGAGAATGACATCAGGGGCCCAGTCACCCAGAAACCCAGCCACCTAGCCAGCTGCAGAGTGAGAGTGAAAGTAAGATGTACAGAAGTAAGAAAAGGAAAAATAACCACAGGCAAAATTTAGGTGGGATAATTTAAATTAAGAAAAGCTACCTAGAAATAAGCCAATCTAAGACTGGATATTTATAAGAAAAGTTGTCTGTGTGTATTTACTTGGGGACTGGGTGTCAGGTCCCCTAAAAGAGCCAAAAGAGTAAAGACTAAGAAAAAACTAGCAACAAAGATCACCAGTTAATCCATGTGCCTATTAAATTCTGAGAGGGGCTTAGTAATTTTATAATATTTTATGCATAATGTCTCCTATCTATGTAGCTTGCATATATTTAAAAATTGAAATAGATGGTTGCCTATGAAACATGACATTTATAGAAGGATATTCTTTAAAGAATTTACCTGGACATTTCTCACCTCTCAACTCCTAGGCTATGTAAGAGCTTGGGGAGTTAGTGTAGGGCTTCCTACTGCAAACGAACAAGCAATCTACTTTGGATTGGTGAAGTAGTCACCATTTTTAAGCAGTATGTTTGCTGTATTATATTTTTCTTCTGTGGTTTCCCTGTGAGAAAATGGTATGTAAATTGTACTTTCTTCAGATTTAGGGTCTGGAGTGATGGTTTAATCATTAAAAGTGTACACTTTTCTAGAAGACCCAGGTCAAGTTATTTAAGCTCCAGAGTATTTAAGGACTGTCTTTTGGTCTTAGTTGACAATTTCATATATTCCCACAGAGACATATAGGCATATACAAAATTAATGAAAAGTATTCAGGCCAGACATGATGGTGCACGCCTTTAATCGTAGCACTCAGGAGACTGCCTGGAAGATCTCTGTGTGTATGAGGCCAGTCTGTTTTACAGAGTGAGTTCCAGAACAGTTTGAGGCCCTGTCTCAAACAAATAACCAAACCAAACAAAACAAACTTCAGATGTGATCAAATGTCAGTTTTCAGAATTAAGTACTATTTGCTAGGACAGGAGAGATAGCCCAAGTGGTGTAGAGTACATTCTGCTCTTACAGAGGACCAGAGTTCAGTTTCCAGGATGCATATCATGTCTCACAATTGTCTGTAACACTAACTTCATAAGATCTAATGCTTTCTTCAGACTTCCATTGGCAACTGTACTCACATTTACATAACCTCACAGACATATACACATATGCATAATTAAATATACAAATAAATATTTAAGAAAAGTTTTTTTTGACTATTGGTTTAAATATTCTTTCATGAATGACATTTTTATGTCTCTTGAGCATTAAAGAGCCAGATTGCTTTAATAAGAGCCCTTCTCAATTCCTATGTGTTACCATTACCTTGGATTTGTTTTCTGTCTCCTGCAATGTTGACAACAATAAAAAGGCAAATCCACTATTGCCTCAAAATTCTAACACTAATACTGAGGGCAGGATTAAAACCCTTGTTCTATATAGAATGTTTTGTTGTTGCTGCTGTCTCTTCATAGACCGTTTGTTCAGAATTGAGTCTAACATTGTCTCTATTCCAGGTGCTTTCTTTTGTTTCAATCCTGGTCACTTCCTAGAACTCTTCAGTCATCCTCTTGTTTGTATTTATGCCACTACCACTTCTGATATTGCAACCCTTGTCACTGATATAATTCTGGCTGAAGACATGTTTGACTCATGGCCATTTGAGACATAATGAAAACTGAACTGGAAAGCCAAGATTTGATGAATGCTAGAAAACCTGTATTCATTTTCATTCAATCCTCAGAGGTCTTTTTTCTCCTATTGGCTCAAGAGAAGGCTTTGTTTGCATGAGGGACTGTGGTTGCTTAACTTTGCCAACTTTATTTATATATGTATTTATTTATTTATATTCTTCTTTTCTATAAGTAGGACAATGGTATCAGGCAGCCAGTGGTAGCAAGAGAACAACACTAATTAATGAACGAAGGCTAAAAGTTTCAAAAGCTACTGGAGACAGAAATAGTAAGGTTGGGGGCAGATGATGAATGATTGCAAGATATAGATAAGGATGCAACAAGGGACTCTAGGCTCTGATTGCTAGAAAAAGAACTGTGAAGCCCTGAGTGGTGAAATTCCCTAGTACTCTTTTAGTCCTTATGAAGAGAGATAGTCCTAGTAACTAAGCTGTTGGAGCTGGAACTGGCTGCGAGTACTGGCATTGCTCGTGTAGGAAAGTTCTGGGGGTTAAACTAGATGTCACCTTTTTAGGACCACGGGTGGTCCAATCCAGAAGTTTCGTATAGTGACCAAACTGTAAATCACAGATTCTGGGTCTCAAAACTGTAAGATTTTGTTCATACAGAATAGCTATAAGTATGTCCCTTTAGCAATCAAAGTTATAGAATACCAACAGAATGGATGTCCTGTTTGTCTTTTGGTGATTTCTGTTCATGCATAATCAAAACCACCCCATCTGGCTGGCTAAAATTTATAATA